TCTAAACCTCGCGCTGTTCGCAGCTGACGCATATTATGGCACTTGTCACCCGTCATTAGTTTAGTGCATTCTTGAGTCTACATGCGTATCACTCTTTCAGTACCATTCAACGAGACCCTAGCATTAAACGAAGCGTATGACAATGACTTTCACCACAAACTTAAGTCCATCCAAATGTATTTGCAACCAGTTCCTCTCTAAATCACGTACGAAACCATGCCCTATGACGTTTCCGTGTCTTGCCTTACTCATTGGTGCCCGCCTCTTTCAGACTCACAGTAATCGACAGCATTCATTCACTCTCCCATCTTGTTGTTGGTGCATATTTAACTTGATCACCAGAAGATTTGTTTGGCTAAGCCTTAGAAAATTTGTTGTATGTGAACTCGAACAAGCCTTTACTGCCAGCGCTACAAGTTATGTCAACACACCATTAGTAATCTCGGCTCATTCCCTGCCCTAGATCCTCGGTTATCACAAGTACATTTTGACCTGGTATGACACTTACCACTTTTCCGCGAAATCGAACACAAACCGATATGTATCGAACGCCTCACCAGATAGCTGGAGGTGATGGGTCGCCTGCCAAACTGAGCGGAGTACATTCTCACCCATGCTTCCTTGTACTCTTGGGTGTTTCACAAACGATACTCTATAGTCATCAAAATTGCGCGCACAATTCCTCTTTAACCTTCGCACTTCCAAACGTTCTGCAAAGTCTTCGGCGCTCAACGCATCCACACGATCGCATATCAAACTGCAGCTATTGGCTTAGTAAATCTTTTCGTCAACAGATTTAGTCTTCTCTTACTACACATTTCAACACAGGAGGGAGCGAATACATGTCGCTAGTATTCCTAAGTATTGTCGGCAACATCAAAGTAAACCTGCAGAGAGCACCTGCCGAGCTGGTAAACGGCTCACCAATTTTGCTACCATAAGATTTCCTTTTATCTTTTGTTCACCAATTGGCAGCTCAACGCAAGTGAGAGACGTAATATACCGGTCAACTTTCCACTTCGACCTAAAATGTACCGACGTCCGCTGTTTCAATAGCGCACATTTTCCCTACTCCCGTGGTTCACTGATAAATGTTATGAGAAACGACCAAAACATAAACATTACACCATTCTCTGCTTAATATACTCATAAGGCGTTTCACACGGTGCCACACTACCTATGACGACACGTCTCAAACATATATGAGTATTAGATACCAGATTCAGTTGATAAACAGCGGCATATTCTTGTACAATTTCCCGCATGTTCAAACCTCACCTAACTAGCTTCAAGTGAGCAACGTCCTCCATGCACAGTTGATAGCAATAAAATGCTTGTCTGCAAGCGCTCGGCTACGTTCTTCCAACGAAAGCCCCGGGATATCCTTGTGGCAAGAGAACCGTTCTGACTGTAGTAAGGAAAGCAATGCAGTGAGAGATCTATTCAGTGCGCACTTTCATTTCCTTCTTTCTACGATTCGCAATATTTTGTGTTCCGACAAACCCTTACTGACTGCCCAACCATGATACACTCTGGATCGGATAAATCACCCCGGATAACAACTAACCGACGAGTTCCGATCCAGCGAGGTCTCTATGCCCACCGTTCTTGTTGCTTGCGCCGGCTCCATTTGCTCTCTTAAGGTTGTGTGCTTAATGCCTGACTCCAATAAAGATACATCTATGGAGATCATCACTACTGCGTAGCCTAGGAAGAGACCACACTATGGAACGAGAAAGAGTTACGTTTTCAGCAATTTCGACGCAAAATTTAAACCTTTTTTAACATACAGTGGACCCTTTTGTAAACACATATGTTTATATTCAGTCCAATAATCGGCCGAGAGGAATCACGTATGCATATCTGAGCAACATTCATTGCAGCTCATATTAACAGATGTTGGTCCTGTTCGCTTTGACTGTTCGGCAGATTTTTCAACTAGTACGTCCATTAAGTTTCGTTGCATACAAAAATATATCCGTTTGGCAAAATACCAGAAACATCGCACCTAGTGCTGAACCGCGAAGTTCAGTTGAAAAATACAAGCGAACTACTTACGTTGTGCGCAATTACCTTAGTTGCAGACATTGATGCGAATGCCACTGTACAAACAACCGTCAAAGGTTACCCATATATATAATATGTGTATATATATGGGATGGCGGCGCCCGTATCCAGATTTGCTGTCACTGTGGACTCCATAGGAGAGCCACATGACGCCTGCGCCTTGTCCGAGGTGAGCGAGAATAAACAGGGATGTAGAACCATCAGGCAGTTCGTCGTGTGTTATTATTTATTTTCCCCTGGTCATTCATTCTGACCGCTAGCATATCACCAATTCATCTGTGCCTAAAACGCTACCTATATCCAAGCATGTTTATTTGAATGCCACATCGTGCTGCCGCTGTTCCGGAATCAATCTTAATTACTTGTCTGAATCTAAGTGCGTTTATCTGAAGGCGGCAGCAGTACAAGGGGAGGTCTAACGACAGCTGAAACGTGATACATTGACCACAGATTGCAATCCGCAATAAGTCACTGTGTCACCAGAGAAGAAGTGTAATAAGTTCCATCTGTCAATTGGGAACCTAGCGAGACAAGAAGAGATGTTAGCGAGACTTGTAGTTTAGGCGTGCCCCATTTAGACACCGCGCCAGCGGATAATGGTGTCAGGCGATTGCAAATGCCATCAGACTGTCAGACTAAAGTGTGGCGCTTACAAGTGTTCAGTTCCGTTCAGTTCAGATGGGGACTGGAACGATAGGAGAATCCCGTGATTGTTCCATCTTGAGTGGATCGTTGAGCCAGGAATTGATGAAGTGCACAGTTATTGATGGATCTAAAACGAAAACACCCGTATCGCGCCCTGGCCAACCAGTTAATGCCCACGTTTCCTGCCCTAGCAGTCCCTGCTGTGGAAGTCACGGGAAGTAAGCAAAGGATAGGAAGAGAAATCGAAGGTACAGAATAGGGAAGTGCACTTAGATAAGAAAATAATACCAAGACGTGAAGAAAAGTAGAGAAAAGAAAATCGAAATACGGAGGTGCGAGTTACTCAGGAAAATGGAAAGGTTTCGTGTTGCCACCCAAGAGCGTCAAGTTGCCGCTCAAACCTCTTAACAGTAGATTCCCTGATAACACTTCCGGAAGCATGTTCCAGCGGTCCATGACTCTGCGTGACAGCCGGATTTCCGCCCTAATCCGCCGGACCGCGGTTTGTCCAGCTTCAACGAATGACCGCGTAGAACAGACAATCTAGCGGGACTGAATAGCCAAGATAAATCTGGAACAACCTTCCCAGTCAAGATACGGCAGTTTAGGAGTAGGTCTCCTCTAAGCCTTTGGTAGTGCACTGAATGCCTTCCCAAAATAAATAGACGCTGGGGGTACGTTCGTCCCCGTAATTCCTAGACTAACCTAGTACCTAGTAGATATTGTATCGAAATGGCATCCAAATTTTCATTCAACCTAATATATCGGTTGATGTCTCAGAGGTCCCAGGTTCGAGATGCAGTACTGCAGTGTTGCGAACGGACATTTGTTCACACTTGTGTATGGACGTCCACAAACTGGATGGAGAAACAACAACCCTCATGAGCAATAACACTACGAACGTGCGTGAGTATGGATTGAATGTAAGAATTACAGCCATATTCCACTAGTGTTGGAAGATCTCACGTACGAGTATAAACAACAAATACGGTTGTTGCTAGTCCGTTAACATTTAAACGTCAAGCCGAATGGCAGCCAAAATGTAGTCAGAAGTGTGGGCATCACCAACAGATAGCGAAAGATAGAGAAATATAGAAACAATTACCATCAATACTGTTACTAGATGGAATGATGTACACATAAGCGATACGCTAATACAGTGATGTCTTATCGTTAGTGTGTGCTGCAGATGCCATCTGCTACATGCATTAGAAGGCGGTAATATTACAGATTCTCTGATAACCGATATGGCACGATCAAAGGAAGCATACATCTAGTAAATCCCGCTGCGTCTTGTCCTACATTATGCTATCAAAAAGTGCTCAAAATGTTTTAACTATTTTTGCTACAATTCAATTGCTGCTGTGCGTGGATTTATTTTTCAAGGTAATATTTACTTAAGCACTACCGTACCACTACAGTTAGACTGAATTACGTCTAAGTCAATACCGATGATTGGACATTTTTCATTTAAATTGTAGCATGTACCTTTGTTCGTCCACCGCTTATCTGGATAGTAGCTGCCTTTCCCTAAACACACATAAGTTCAGTATAACGGATGAACGGCGGGAAATTTAGCTACACTCACTCACGTGACTAATATGGGAACGGAACATGTGGTATAAACGTCAGTGTGTTAACCGATAGTCAATTACTTGCCGGGATTATTCAGTTTACACATGGAAGAGCCAACATGTGTGCGCTTGCAACGAAACTTCTTGGACCTTGAACACCGATTTGTCAAAGTGCATTCCAAAGCGAGGAAGCGTTGTAGAGTACATGTGCTCCAGGTATTCGTGTTGATCACTAAACCCAATATGTCCAATCGAATACACGAACGAATGTGGAATATTGTAAGCAGCAAGCGCTTAGTAGCCAGGAGTTAACGCGACCCATTTATGCTAGCAGCGTCATCACTACCGTTGACTTTTATGTTGAGATTGCCCGAGCATAGGCCACCAATCTAAGGGATCCATTACTGTTCCTTCGAATCCGGCACACACACAACATATATTAATATACATACATATATATATATATGTATACATATATAACTGACATTACATAGTATAGACTATGACAGGTTTTACAGCGACCAACACGGTCTTTTAGTTCGATTGCCTACATTCATAAAGCCTCGTTATCAATCACAAATTTACAACCAGCGCACATCTATTTTCTTACAAAGAAGTGACGGCAACGATTGATTAACAGTGTATTTGTTACAATCTTGCTTTTAATGTTTTAAAGATGTTCTAAACTAATCAAACACAAAGGGGCAAAATACATTAGTAAGTGATGCTTTGTGCTTTGTCTCCGCAGGGATAGCTGTCATCCGTGTACAGAATTTGCGGTATGTACGTATTCTTTGACCGAATTTCCATTGGGAACTGCACACATGCAATCACGTTGCAATCCGCGTCGAAAAACGTGAAGCGTTCTTCACCTTTATCCTAAAATTGGAAACGAGTAGTTTACGTGCCTTTGTACTGAAACTACTTCAAATTTAATGACAATAGGTGAAACAAAATTGCGGCTTCTAAGCACTCGATAAACAAGCAAACAGAGACCCTCGGAAATATTAACAACATACCGCAACATCGGGTACAAAGACGCTTTTTTTAAACGTGTATACACCATCTTCTTTCAGCGGACACCCTTCTTCTATGTATGAACAGATGTTGTCCGTCCCGGGCAATTGTCGCATGCACTTCTTCGACTGTGAGTCGCTTATGCAAACCTGAAACTTCCCGGATTGAACTCTTCTTCCTATACAAGCATGATGAGAAAATGTAGTCACAGTGTAAGTTGATCTCTGGGCAGTGATAACAGTTCGTAACGACTAACAAATAACAACACCGCAGATCACCTACCGAATGGCCAAAATATAAAGTGGTTATAAGGTCACATCACGGTTTCGATTTAGTTAAGTGTTTTGATAAGAAATTGAAACTTAGAGAAGAAAATTATTTCAAGGAACACAAATACAGCTTATGTTTATTCGTATGAAAAATGCGCATTTCTCCATTTATGCACCCCACAAAATCACCCGTCTAGGCATATGGCACAAATATATGTGGTTTTAAAAATAATACATATCATAAACCGTATTTACTTACGTGGTTGAAAGGTGAATTCTTTCATTACAAATGTGCCTCCATCGGAGACACAAGGTGCCTGGGTGCAATTTGACACGAATGCACCGACAAGCGTTTTGTCATCAGCTGGAAGCAGTGAAAGCAAAGGAGGACAGAAAAACAGTCATCAATTAGTTGTTTATGTGGGCTGATCTGCATCCTACAATTGGTGAGACTAAACTACTGATATCATTAAACCCATAGCTGTACACTGTCAACTTGTTAATCCATATTATTTGCTTGTGATATAAAAGCATGAAGCGGTAGGGGCCCGCTACACCGGTGCACTCACAGCAGTCACTGTAAAATGTATCCGCCTGCAGAACAGCAAATTCAACAATGAGTAGAACAAAAATCACTCTGCAAATCTTGGCGTCCATTTTCCTTGAGGTACATTCTACGCATACGACAACGTTATTATTTATACTTATTCTCATCTCATTGTATAGCTGAAGGACTGTCGCAAATTTGGAACAACAGGCGTGAGCGGCGTATTCAACTTGTCCTCTAAATGGCTCACCATGAAACATATGTCGATCATGTGTATTGTGAAACCAGTGCCGCTGAATTTCAAAACAAAAATGTGGGATATTTTTCAATGTAAAAATTGATTATTTGATCAACACCACCATTCCACCTGCAGTTATATGAAAGAGGTCTATTTTGTTTACGAGAACGCCAAAATAATACGTGAATGCCGCTTTGAGGCGGTGGTTTCACATTTTCCTTCCCACCTTATTTTCAGCTTTTTCTAACCATTAAGCTTTCCGCAGATGAAATGCAGATTTGGCATTAAACCCGTAATGCTGGCTTGCTACGTAATATGAATCTATCAATGAAATCTTTAACATCTGATATCAAGGCGTTTAAATAATGATATAGTGATGTAATGCCGTCTTGCAGCAATCTCGAGCATGTAAACACCATCGAGTTAAATAGCGTGACATTCGGTGAAATAAGCGCACAGAGGTAGCCTCAGATGAGTAATTCGCATCTTATTACCATAACATTATACGTGCTCGTGGTCACATATGCAGCGCAGGCGATTCAGTGAACAATAGGACAATTTATTAGATAAGAATCGGAATCTACGCATATGCTTTTTCTTTAGAAAAAGCCTCCGTCCAATCGATATGATGCTTGGCACATGGTAGACAAAATTTAATAAGGTAGCACACCCAGGTTTTTTTATTTCTAGCCTTTCATAAAGCATATATAATGGTTTCCATATTATTGGAATGCACCGATGGCTTTGTTTTTTAATAAATCTTAGCGGATCAACCGATGCCTGTAATCCGGTGAAAGTATATTGTTACATATTGGTGTCCCTCTTAATATAACTAAATCAAACGGTGGTCATTTAGCCTACTTGGTCGACTGTGAGTTATTTTATATTCAAGCTAGGGATTT